TTTTTTTTAACCCCCGCGCGTGTCAAGGGCTTCCTCGCGGCGGCAGCTTGGCTCCTTCGCCGGGGTAAATGGTTGGGGAGCCCAAGGGGGCGGGAAAGGAGGCGGCGGCGGCTCCGGCTCGGGCTCCTCCTGCCTCTGACCGAGCCCCCTTCCCTGCCGTTCTCCTAAGGTGGCAGCCGGAGAGCTTCGAAGGGGAGCCCCCGTGTCCGGCTGCCCCAACAGCGGGCAAAGCGGGTGTGTGTGTGTGTGTGGGGGGGACGTCCGCTGCTCCTTGGAGAGGGTGGGTGGATGGGGTGGATGAGAGGGCGGGCGGACGGGCGAGGGGAGTGACCCCGGGCCAAAGGTACGGCCGGAGGGCGGGCGAGGCAACGGGGGTGTCTTTTCCGTGGAGGGCCCCCCCCCGCTGAGGCTGCTTCTCTCCCTCGCAGGCAAGGGAAGAGGGGGCGCTCGGAGGCAGCCTCCCCCCGCTTCGGTTCGCCTCAGAGGTGGGAAGCGACGGAAGGAGAGGGAGGAGAAGCCGCGGGGCCGGTCGTCACAATCTCCGCGTCAGAGCTGCTGCCGCGGCTTCCCATGGTTTTTTTGAGGGTTTTTTCCCCCCTTGCATTCCCCCCCCTCCCGCTTCTTCCTCATCCCTCTCATCTTGTCAGAAGAAGAGATGGAGTGGGCGTGAACGTCAGTGTGCAAAGGCCCCGCCCCTTTCAGCTGCCCGCCTCCTTCTCCTCCTTCCCTCCCCCCCACCGTGCTCTGCACGTGGCCAACACGGTCCCGCGCCGCAGCACACGCCCCCTTTTCCTCCAGCTTCGGTGCCATTCATTCTGCTCTGGCCTCTCTGCCCCACCTGTCTCAGCCCATGTTTGCCAGCCTGCTAGACAGAGGCAGAGTGCATCGAGTCCCCCACTGCGTTGTGCGTATGTGGGAATGCTTGTCCGCTTGCCTGCAAGTATGCGTGTGTGTGTGTGTATGAATGTCTGCTGTTGCCCTCGGGCCTGTCTGTCATCTTTGGCTCTACCCACCTGTACGGTGCTTTCTGCCCCACCAACTGGAATGAACGACTGTGTGTCCTGCCATTGGTGTTACAGAAGAAGCAAGTCCGCCCCCTCACTCTCTGGGAAGGGGAGGGTAGTGTTGAACCCAGGGACAGCATGTAGACCAGCCCAAAATATTTTAGTTACCTGAAATGATGCCCCCTCCCATTCCGTATATGTATAGAAGATAGCCAGATTGGTGATTGAAACTAATTTCAGCACTAGTGAGTAATGGACAGCGGTCTACAAGCATACAGTACTTGGACTAAGCAGGGAAACTGAAACAGCTGCAGAACTTGGGTCTATCAACCCCTCCGTTGTTCATTCTAACAGGCAGAGATTTTCCAAGGCTTCAGGCAGGCTTGCTCTTTAGCCATACTTGCAGATCCCAGGAATTCCCAAGACATTCCCCTTCCAACCAAGCCCAACTCTAGCCCTAAGAGAAGCTTCTTGGGTTATATTGCTGTATTTCTAAAAGACAAGTAAGTGAGGAGAGGAGGAGCTTGGTCCCTGCCTCCATCTCATCATCCCCCTCCCCTTTCCTCTGGCTCAGTATGAAGATTCAGGGCTAGTACTTTGTTGTTGTTTAGTTGTTTAGTCATGTCCAACTCTTCGTGACCCCATGGACCAGAGCATGCCACACCCTCCTGTCTTCCATTGCCTCCCAGAGCTGGGTCAAATTCATGTTGGTAGCTTCGATGACACTGTCCAACCATCTCATCCTCTGTCGTCCCCTTCTCCTCTTGCCTTCACACTTTCCCAATATCAATGTCTTTTCCAAGGAGTCTTCTCTTCTCATGAGATGGCCAAAGTATTGGAGCCTCAGCTTCAGGATCTGTCCTTCCAGTGAGCATTCAGGGTTGATTTCTTTTAGAATGGATAGGTTTGTTCTCCTTGCAGTCCAGGGGACTCTCAAGGGCTAGTCCTACTATTAGGCAAAGTAAGGCAGCTACTTCAATTATTAGATGCTGGTCAAGTGGCACAAGCTGTCTTTCCCACACCATTTCTTCCTCAGTCTCTTTGCCTTAGCTATATATGCAGCACAGCCCATGGCACAACTCTAAACCACCTTGCTGCTCAAGGAATGTTCTGTAATTGCCAGCATTGAACTAAATCCAACAAAGGATATCCCATTGATCCATAGGTGTAAAACAAAATCCAAAGTCCAACACCCACGATTGGGCAATACCTTAATTAAGATCAACTGTAAATGCATGGGTTATATGAGCTTCAAACTCCATAGAACTCTTTATCAGGTTAGATGATAAAAAGTAAGGGAGGAAGAAAAGGGAAAAAGACTCTGAAGTCCAAATTTATGATTAGGTGTTCCAAGCCATTGAGAACTGTAAACAAAGTCCTGGGTGGCAAAATGTGGCTTGATCCCCATGACCCAACTGATTTATATACCACAGAGCCTAATGGGCAGTGGTCACATTCACTGAAAGGACAAATACTATATAGCAACATGTGTCTATGTTAACCATGGATGAAACACACAGGTTCCTTTGTAGGCATAAGCAGAGGTGCAAAAGGTGTTGAAGTAATTAAGACTCAGTTGCTAGTTAAATTGCATCTGCAGGTGGAGTGGAGGAGAGTTGGTCCTTTTCTTCAGGCAGCAAAATAACTTTGGCTGGCCCCGGGAAGTTTTGGGCCTAAGGAGGGCACAATGGAGTGCAGGTAACAAAGACATATTACTGAGAGCCCTTTGACTTTGGGAGCAGGCAGAACACATGAAAACGGAAGGCCCATATTTAAAAGACTTAGTAGAGTGCAGTGGATCCAGCTAATGGCTTTCCCTTAGTCACTGCTTAGTTATGGGCTCCAAAACAGTGTACTTCCTTCTCCATTGTCATATATAAGACAGGGCATTGTGAAGGTTCACCACTCATTAGATGGTGTCAAGCCAATATATATCATTGGAACAGTATGACCACCTTTGGAGTGATATGACCACCTATCTCTGTAATGTGGACATTTGCAGACGTCTTTGCAATGCAAGTACTTTACATATTAATGTGCTCATGTACAAAACAATGTGTAGCGCCCCAATAGCCTTGGATAATGCAGTGGTCTCCAGAGTTGCTTCACATGGAACAAAACGTCTACATGGGCAGAATGTCTACGCAAACATGTAATGTGGATATTAACAGACAAGTTTTGAATGAAGAATTGAGGCAAAGAGGCAGGGTCTTGTGCCTTTTGTAAAATGTGAGCTGCTTCCTGGGGGTGTTTTCAGAAGTGATTTTTACATATTTTCCCCAGAAAATCTTCTATCCTCACTGGGGGCACATGTAAATAACAAAATTACTTTGATCAAGACACTTCTTATTTCCAGAAATACAGTATGTCTGAAGATTACATTTTATTCCAGGTCATTTCAGATTATAGAGACATCTTTGCTACTTTGTATTAATTGTACTGTGCACTATTACAAGGCACATCTGCTATGTTCTTGTGACTTTTTATTTTTTAAAAAATCCGAGACTGGGAATGTTATCATATACAACATGACATATAGGATGTTTTTAAAAATATATTTGAGTGTTACTTATTCATTCTCCATTTATATCTGATGTGAATGCTGCTAATGAAAGAAAGGAGAATTGTTTTGAAGAACAACTAAGCGTACACTGAAAGTAAGATAGATCCCCAAGGTCAACTTAAAACAAAGTTGGTTTAAGAGGAAAATGCTGGCTGTGTTCATCCTGCTTTTAACTCTTTTTTATGCTCTGTTATCTCACTTTTTCTTCTTTCACTTCCTTTTTGATTTTTTTTGCACACACTGGATAGAAGATGGAAATCAGTGGGACAAGTTCAAGCTGATTAGCCATTGATTTCAATAGTTCTACTCTAACCACGAGTAAATCTGAACACAACACATTGTTATTATTGCCTTTGCCTTTGCCTAAATCACAACTGTGGACTTCTACTTCTATCAGTCCTAGACACCATACCCAGTAGTGAGGGATTATGAGAGATGAAGTGTTGCAATATCTGATGGGCCACATTTGCTTGTCCCATCTGAAACAGAACCTTTATTTCCTCATATTCTTTTTAATTTCATTGTTGTGCAGCTTTTGGTCCCGTTTCTCCTTACACTCTTTTTAATCTTTAATCTAAAAAAGTACATCGGCCCCCATAGTTCAAGGCACAAGCGCCTATGTTTTAACAAGATTTTTTTCCCCCAGTGAATTGAGGAATAGCCACAGGTCTCAATGAGATACAGGTTGTCAGGGGGAAATTTCAAGAAGAAAGGCCAAATTGTCTGTTCTCAGGGCTGTTCCAATAACAACAAAAGAAAACCCAAGCTTTATTCTTAACACAATTCTGGCATCGGCTTTGATTCAGTCCTGGCAGTGAGATTTCCTGTTCTGTCCCATCCCCACAGCATAGGTAGCCTTGTTGCAGGGGAGAATCTTGCTGCAGGAAGAATGAGCTCCTTATTTCTCTGATTTGATTCTAATTAAAGACCAGTGGTGTAATGGAACCTGGGTATCCGAATCAAAGCCTCAGAACTTTCTGAATGGCAAGGACTATGTTGTCCTCCACTACATCCCCAGTCTTTCTTATTCCCTCTAAGCTTAGCTGCTGTCCTCACAGTTACTGGAACAGACATGGATTTTTTCCCCAGAAATAGTTTATTGATGCAAACTATCTCCACCGTAATGCGAAATATTTCATGATAGTTTGGTCTTGATTGATCAATTAAGAGCTATGAACATTACAAAAGACTTAACACTCTCATTTGTTAAGATGAGCCCATCCAGCTGCTTGCATTTTTTTTTTACTCTCCTTTTTGTGGAGAGCTGGCTGTGGGCACTCTAATGATTAGCACCTGCGCATCCCAATTTACCGCCACACCACTGCTAAAGAAAAGAAAATTCCTATGAATGGAGGTGGAAAAGGGGTACATTTAC